CCACCGTGCCCTGGTCCAGCGCCTCGGTCCAGGTAATGGAAGTTGTTCGGTTTTTTCCTTCCTCCGCAACTCCTCCAACTTTCCCCGGAACGCCCGTCTTTGCAAAGTTCGTCCAGGCGAGGATCATGTCCCGGCTGAGGCGGTACTCCGCCTCGCTGAAGATCAGTCCACGGACGCGCACCGGCACGCCAAAGACGTAGACGACGTCCTCGCCGTGACCTAAATGGTTTAAAATAAAAATTAATAACAAAAATGAGAGTTATTATTTTTCTAAAAAAACAGCACTCACAAACTTCCATCCACCCTCGACAGCCCATGATGCCGATGCTGGTGGGCAGCGAGACCTTGTAGGCGTAGTGGCGCCGGGTGGGCGTCACCTTGGCAAACTGCTCGCCGTACAGTACGGTAGGGCAGATGAGGTGGTAGTCGCCAAAGGCGTCGGAGACGGCCAGTCTGATAAAATGTGAGTTATCAAAGAGGTATTAGATTGATTTGATAAGGGGTTTTGGGTGGTGATGGTGATATCAAATCATTCATTTAGTTTACCTCAGCGCCGTCTTATCCGACTCGTTCAGCTCCTTGGTGTAGTACTCCACCACCTCGGCGTAGTGCGGCTCGCTGAACATGAGGAACATCAGCTTGATCATGCTCTTCACCTGGGCGATGTGCAGGTCCTTTCCGGTGGTGTCCGGATTCAGCAGGGGGAGAATCTTGGCCACGAAGGCGGAGCCCTCGTTTCGAGTGGTGCCAAACTAAAATAAAAAAAGCGAGAATTCAATGATGTTTTTACGAGGGTTAAAATAGGGATCAGTTTTGTACTCAAGCAGTCGGTGGCCGAGCGGTTTAGGCGATCGACGTTGATGCCTGAGGAGCGCGAGTTCGAATCCTCGTGTTTGGCTGCGCGGCCCCCACCCAGGGTTAATGGGGAGAGCTCTGCCCACTGGCCGCTCAGTGTGGAGACTCTAGCTTCGTAGAGAGGGCGCCTCTGGCGTCTGTCAGGATAGGCTGTCTGTCAAGCCACTGACTTAAATCTCAAAAAGTATGGATCAAAAAGTGGCCCACTAGGGTAGTCAGGACCCTCCCTCTCGGAGGACCACAACTGACTTTAAACGAGGCTTTTAAAATAGGGATCAGCAAACGGTTTTTAGATTACCATTAGATCGACGTCATTGACCTTGCCCGTCTTGAGCGCCTCCACCGGTCGAAGGGGCATCAGATCGGTGCCCCAGATGGGAATGAAGGCCTCTCCATTGGCAATCGACCCCTTCGACTGGTGGAGAATGCGTTCCACCGAGGCGGCCCGAAGACACTTTAAAATGGCCGCCCGTTCTGTTCCATTGCAGCCGAGCTTTTCAGCAAGGGATTCCGTCTTTGGGTAGCTGAGTTCCTTCTTCTCCGAGCCGAGGTAGGAGTTGGGGGCGCCCGATTGAGTAATTGCCCGGTGGAAGAGGCCTTTGGTGAGCGGGGAGAGGACCAACGCCCCGACCGACATTGAACCGGCCGATTCGCCAAACAGTGTCACCTGCTTCGGGTCGCCGCCAAAGGCGCCAATGTTCTCCTGGACCCACTTGAGGGCCAAAATCTATTGAAAAATTGAGATAAAAGAGGTCATGGTCATGCCAATAGGAAATGTCAGTTAAAAGGCCGAAGTACCTGATCGTACAGTCCCTGGTTCCCGGGCGCATCCTCAGAGCCGCCGTACAGAAAACTGAGCGCCCCCAGGCGGTAGTTGACCGTAACCACAATAACATCGCCCAACGAGGCAATCACCCGACCGTCGTAGATCACCGTGAAGATGGTGCCAAATTCGAAGGATCCTAAAAAAGTGTTTTGAATTTGAAAAAAGGATATAATACTTTTCGCCTTCGCCTTCGCCTTCTTCTTCCCCTTCCCCTTCGCCTTCCCCTTCCCCTTC